TTTTTCTTTTTTCTTTACCGTGTCTGTAACTCCACATTTCTTTTCTGTGTCTCTGGTGTCCCCCGAACACCCCCCCCCCCCCACACACACACAGCCACAACCACTCCTCTTCTCCCTTCTGTAAAAACCACCAATCTGTCCTCATTTCTATCATTTCACCACTTTGGGATGGAATCGCAGACTTAGCGCTGCAGGAGGGGCTTTTTCTCATAGATCCCTGGAGGGTTATGCGAGTTGCTGCCAATCACTGCCTCCATCCTCCTGGCTGAAAGGCGGTCCAAGCTGTGGGTGTGCCGGCTTTCACCATGAAAGGATATCTGGATCCGGACTGTGTCCAGTTTGGGGCTCTTGCCTTGCAAGCTTCAGTGGACATTGTTATGGGAACAGAAGCTTCAGTCCGCTGGGCTAAGTGCCCAGGGACGTGGCCGCTGAGGGACGCAGTGTGTTTTGAGGGACACAGTGTGTTTAGATCTTCAAAGTCCGCAGAGGAGCAGCCCTTGGTCGTGTGTGCAGCAAGGCATGAGACTCCAGGTTGTCTACAGCTTGCCAGCACCGGTTCACCCCTTCCGTCACTTCAGCTGTCACGGTGTGTGCTCACCCAGGACACGCTTCTCCCTGTCTGTCATGGCAGGACAACGTTTATTTGCTGTTGAGATGGAATTTGCTTATATGCCCCAGGGGAGTGTCCTTGGTGATATATGATTAGTGGCTGGTTTCTCCCCGTAGCTGGCCATTACTTCTTGTCAGGATCTTGTGAAAGGAAACTTTCCTTTCTTTTCTTTCTTCTTTCTTTTTTTCCCCTTCAGAGAAGACTGTGAATGTAGTCCCCCACCACCACTAATTATGCCATCGAGTTTCCCACATGTGGGGAAATCGCAGGGGTCAGCACATCTGGAGTGCAATGGATAAGCCTCGCCCTGGGAAAACACCTCTGTGATCACGGTGTCTCCCCTGCCCTTCTGTCTTCTCCGTGTGGTTTCTAAGAAGGCTTCTGCATGCCCTAGGGCCCAGAGATACTCCCTGTGTCCAAAAGCTTAGTGGTTCACTGTTTATGCTGAGATCTCAGCTCTGCTGAGTTGATTTTGTGTCCGGTATGAGACTCAGATCAGAACTCCTTTCTTGGCCTGTGGACTGCCAGTGAGTGGCTCTGGTACCTCGGGTTGAGATGGGTGTCCTTGTTGACAGCTAAGATTCAGGACACCTCCCCAATTACCAGCCCTGTGGCTGCCCAACTGACCCTCTGTGCCCGGAGCTCTTGGGCACTCTCTGAATCCCCAGACTCCTGCTGTACCGTTCACCTGTAGACTTCACCTGCTAGCCCAGGAGCTTAGGCTAGACCCCAGAGAAGCGTCCACAGGAAGCAAAGCCGGAAGGGGCGCCTGAGGCTGGGGGTCCCAGGCTGGGCAAAGAACCCGAGGTCCCTTCAAGGGGCGCAGAAGCAAGTGTTTGCCCAAAGGCCTGACACCCACCCTGCCATTGCCGGCAGCACCCTCAGCTTGAGGGGTGAGATATGGGGTGACTAGCTTTAAATTCAGGTGACCTAAAGGAAATAAAGGTGAGGTCAGGGGTGGTACCCAACACCTGTGACCCCAGAACTGTAGAGTCTAAGGCAGAAGGATCAGGATTGTTCCTGGCCAACCCGGGATATGAAGTGAGTCATTTTGTGTGTGTGTGTGTGTGTGTGTGTGTGTGTGTCTGTCTGTCTGTCTGTCTGTCTGTCTGTCTGTCTGTCTGTCTATGTCTCTGCGTGTAAACAAACAAACAGAAGGCAGAGGCACTTCCTGGCCTGGCTTCTCTGAGTTGCCCCACAGCTGAGTGAGCCTCAGCAGCGACCTCCGACCCGGACCGGGGACCCACGTGTTCCCAGTGCTCAGCCTGGGCACCACAGCACTCCCTCCAGCTGGGAGGCAGTTCCACCGACGGAGCCGGAAGACACAGGAAGTGCAAACTAGTTGGTGCATCCCCAGTTGCCTAAGCACCTGGGATACCTGGCCAACCTCTGAAGCCAGAGGACTGTTTCCTAATCTACCACAGCAGCTGTATGCTCGGGTAGCCAGCCAGAGCACTGATGGCGCTAAAATAAACTGCACAGAAGGTGTCCCCTAGCAGACCACAACCAATGTTCAGAAACCGGCGGCGGCGGGTGGGGTGGAACCAGATGCAGAACCTAGGGATCCCTGTATACTGTCGACATTTTTTTTTTCTCCTTATGAGACAGGTCTCTCTGCCAGGCTTCTGGCCTGGAACTCCTATCCACCCACTTGCCCAGTCCTGGGATTACAGATGTGCACCACCACACCAGAAACCTTTGGAATAGGGATGTGTGCATGCCAGGGCCACACCTGCTCCGGAGTGCTCCCGTCATCCGCGTACACCCGGGGGTCTGCTCCGAGCTTCAGAAGCACCTCCACGGCTTCCAGGTGGCCCCCAAAGGCAGCCCGGTAGAGCGGCGTGCGGCCGAAGGCGCCCTGCGGAAAGGGCTCCCTGAGCGCGGGCGGGGACCGGGCCACGCCGCCGCCGCGCGCACCGCGCCCACCTTGCTGTTGGGGTTGGCACCCAGCTCCGCCAGCAGCTGGATGGCCATGGGCTGCCCGCCCGCCGCCGCCTCGGACAGAGGCGTGTTCCCGTGGCTGTCCTCGCACTCCACAGTGGCCACGCGCCTCTGCAGCCGCCGAGCCTTGCCCGCCTCGTCGTGGCCCACGCCCTCGCGCGTCAGCAGCTGATCCACCTGGGCGCAGGGCAGTGTCACCCCGGCGCCCGCCCCTTCCCGCCCACCCGCCGCCGCCGCCGCACGGACCTCCTTAAGCACCGCGCGGATCTCGCCCAGGTCCCCTTCGAAGGCGGCCTCCAGCAGGCGGCGGCGGCGCTGCAGCTCCTCCCGCCGCGCGCGCTCCGCCGCCTCCTCCTGCTCGCGCTGCCGTCGCGCCTCCTCCTGCTCCCGGCGCACCATGGCCAGGTAGGCCTGCAAGACATGCATGACCCGTGGTCACCGTCCCCAACGCCCAGACCGCTGCCGCAGTGTCCGCAACTCACGGTCACTGTGCAATCCGGACATCATGCCCACAACCTTGAGGGCCCCGTCTAAAACCCAAAGGTCACGGCTCCCCTTCACACTCTGTCCAGACCTTCCCTCTTCCTCCGTCGGGTCCTGGCACCCAGGGTCTTGTGGCTGGGCCCTGCTCACCTCTCTCTGCAGCTTCTCCATTTCATCCAGGTACTCCTGGCGCTCCTTCTGACGGTGGGCCAGATCCTTTCGGGCCAGATGTTGCCGGAAGGCACACTGGATGATAAGGGCGGCTTTGTCCTCGGCGGTTAGGGCTGGAGTGAGGGAAGCAGAGATTTTGGTCCCCAGTCCTCCTTCCTAGCCACCACCCATGCAGCTTCTGGGGCCATATAGAGGACCTGGATGGTTCTCAGAAAGCATGAAGGCTGGATGCAGGGACCATGTCTGTCTCCCAACACTCAGGAGGACCTGTGGAGTCCAGGAGTTTGAAACCAGCCAGGGCTATGTGGTAGATAGTGTCTCAACAGTGATAAAAATTCCTAAACAGCTGAGTCAGAATAATGCTCCCTCAGTAGAACCAGGGAAGGAGAGCCAGCCAGGCTTGAACAGGAAGTCCACATCCCCTGGGGCCTGAAAATCGCAAGCAATCTGCAGCTGGAAAGATACGGTCTGGGAGAAGTTGTCGGAAGCCTCCAGGAAAGAACATCAAAACTGCCACTGGGTCCTCGGGGCTCCCCAACCAGAAGAGAGGCCCAACACATCCTCGAAGCCTGGTGGTTGCAGCTAAGCCATGAAGAACCCCCAAAGGGGAGGTTCTCAAGTGGTCTCAGGACATTCAGAAGAGGCGGTGAGTCTAGAACGTGAGCCTATATAGCCACACATTCAGGCCATTTTGCAGAAGTGTACCTGCTGCTGGCCTGGCACAGTGGCTTCCAGGAGCAGGGGATGGGGAGGACACCATGCAGTCCTTCCTGTCACTGGCTGTCACTGGTGAGAAAAGTCATGGGGACTACTGCACCCCACTGGGTCTCTCTGTGTCCCTTCCTCTGTGTGTGTGTGTGTGTGTGTGTGTGTGTGTGTGTGTGTGTTTCTAGGTGGGTGGGGGGCAGCAGTGAGATCAGCAGCATTTAACAGAAAGCTGTGAAGAGTTAGAAGAATACGAGCAGACAAGCGAGGTGTCCAGAAGTAGCTTATGCACCCAGGATAGGTGAAAATCTTGTCTAACAGGGACTCCAAGACAGGCTGGGTAGACCGCCAGGATAAGTGAAAGATGAATCAGTGGGCGTCAGGAAAGAGACAGAAAACAGGACTTAGATGGACGGACACAAAGAGATTCAGGAGCGGGAAGACTGGGCAATGTAGTTCGGCTCGGCAGAGAGAGGAGGTCCCAGGTGGGTGGCTCAGTTGAAGAACAGCATAGAGCAGAAACCAGGGAGAAAAAAACAGAGCACGGCACAAAGTCATCTGATTACCTAGGACCTCCAGGACGCAGGCAGACCGTGGAAGGAAGAGACCATGCTTAGAGAATCAAAAAGTCCAAAAATGGAGCCGACCCCGTGGCCCACGCGGGAAGGTCACTTGATCCAAGGGGTTGGAGACTAACCTGGGCCACGGTGAGAACCCCTCTCAACCATTCCCCCAAACAAAAAGAAGACCCAGAAATCCATCGTGTGTGTGCAGGTGCGCATGGCTGACTGGCCAGCGATCCCAGGGACCCTCCTGCTTCTGACGCTCCAGGGCTGGAACTACATGGGTTTTGGGGATTGAACTCAGGTTCAGTGTCTGTGGTGCAAGCCATTTGCTGAATGCACCATCTCCCGGTCCCCAGAAAGGAATCTTTTGATTCGGCCTTTGGTGGGTACGGTAAGCAAACCCCCCACCACCGAGCTATACCCGGGCCCTATTTTATTTTGTTTGTTTATTAATTAATTTTTTATTTATTTATTTTCGAGACAGGGTTTCTCTGTGTAGCCCTGGCTATCTTGGAACTCACTTTGTAGACCAGGCTGGCCTCGAACTCACCGAGATCCACCTGCCTATGCCTCCCGAGTGCTGGGATTAAAGGTGTGTGCCACTGCCACCACCCCGATTTTGTTGTTGTTGTTGTTGTTTTGAGATAGGTCACAGCAATAAGACAAGTGACTAAGACATTTAAGATTCCTCCAAATGGGCTGGAGAGATGGCTCAGAGGTTAAGAGCACTGACTGCTCTTCCAGAGGTCCTGAGTTCAATTCCCAGCACCCACATGGTGGCTCACAACCGTCTGTAATGAGATCTGGTGCCCTCTTCCATATACATAATAAATAAACAAATCTTTAAAAAAAAAAAAAAAAGAAGAAGAAGAAGAAGAAGAAGAAGAAGAAGAAGAAGAAGAAGAAGAAGAAGAAGAAGAAGATTCCTCCAAATGTTTCATTGGGAATGCAAAGGGCCTCCAAAATAGGCAACTGGAGAAAGAAGATACGATTGAAAACAAAATGACAGCCGGGCAGTGGTGGCACATGCTTTTAGTCCTAGCACTTGGGAGGCAGAGGCAGAGAGATCACTGAGTGAGAGGCCAGTCTGGTCTACAGAGTGAGTCCCAGGACAGCAAGGACTAAACAGAGAAACTCAGTCTTGGGGGGGAAAAACCCACAAAGATGTTTGAGGAATTAAAAGGGAAAACTGAAAACTTTTATAAGAGAACTGGACCCAGTTATAAACTCTAGAGTGTAAACAAGCAAAACTCAGAGCTCAGAGCTCAGCAGGGATGGGCATGGTGGCACAAGCCTTTAACCCCATCACTTGAGAGCCAGAAATAGGTGTGTTTCTGTGAGTTCCAGAACAGCCTGGGTTACGCCAAGAGAACCTCTGGAAAATAACCACAAAAGAACTCAGCTGGGGCCCAGTGTGGTGGTGGTGCATGCCTTTAATCCCAGCATTTGGAGACCAGACCTAGGCAAGTGGATCTCTGAGTTCAAGACC